CCCCCTGACCTCCCTGCACCCTGGGGTGCTCCTGCCCCCAAAACACCGCCTGAACATCCCCATGCGTAGTGGCAGAACGCTTGCGAGCTTTCTCTGCGTCCTTGGTTGGTTTAGGTTTATATCCCCCCTGCGCCCCTTTTTATTTTTTTTTTTATTTGTTTTCAGCAGACTTAAAACCCCGCTCTGCTTTTATTTAACGCCTTCTGTTTCTTGATTCGCAGGCAGGGCCAGTAATTAAGGTTAAAATCCCCAAGGATCGAGACGGCAGGCCCAAGCAGTTTGCGTTTGTGAATTTCAAACATGAAGAATCCGTCCCGTACGGTTTGAGCCTGCTTAACGGGATCAAACTCTATGGAAGGCCCATCAAAATTCAGTTCCGATCAGGTACCTGCAAAAAGAAACGTTAAATAACCCGGTTACTAGAGAGAAAGCAGAACTGCCGTCAGCTTCCCCCTCCCAACCTCTGACAGATTTATATTTAACCGGTTCCATCGCACGCGCTGCTCGCCAAATGGTCGCTCGCCTAAGGGCTGCTGATTCCGTAGGACGAGGGCGTCGAGCAGGTGTCTGCTTTTGTCCCTGTACCTTAGCAGGGGACCTTTCTGTCAGTTATGGCCAAGCGTAATCCTGGAGCTCAGTCTTCTGTTTGGTTTTGGTGAGGTGGTTTTTGGATTATTTGTTCTGTGCCCTTGAAAGCTGTTCTAAATTATCACACGAGTGGTAAAAGTTGCACCCCATGTTTGTTAAATGAGGCACGCTGGCCGGAATACCACTGCCCAATCGCATCTTTCCCAGTGGGTATTAAGACAGTTGCAGTGTCTTAATTTTGGAGCCTGGATCGTGTGCTTTTGCGGGTCACTGGCAAAACCCAAGAGCTAATTAAGCAAGTGGAAACCGTTAGCGCCTTGCAAGTTCGCTTCATACTTGGCTTTCCTCTAACTTGTGTTTGTCGGTGTCATGAAACGTTTGTTTCTCTTCAGGGAGCAGTCACGCATCTCAGGATGGCAACCCGTCTTGTTCCCCGCATGGAGCTGCCAACGCCAGCCCATCCGGCGCGCCGCATCCGGCGTCAAGCTGCAGCAGGTACGCGTCCTGCCGGCACGCGCCGTGGGTGCCGTGCGGGTAGTTTCAAGTGGAAAGCGGCGTTTGCATGGTTTGCTGTATTCCCGCCTGTCTTTCTGAGCGCGATCTGGCCTTTCTTCCCTGCGGAGTGAGCGCTTGCGTTCATAGCGCCCTGTGTTCTGGGTGCCTGAAATCTTAACGTGTTAAAAACAGCGTTGTGTTTTCGCACCGGCACGGAAAAGATCCGGTGAGGTGGGGAGAGCAGTGCCGAACGCACAGGGCAAGCGCATCCGCGCCCGTTTCTGCCCACGGTAGCGAGTTCAGGCTGATGCTCAGAGGGCTGTTTTGTTTCTAAGGCGACAAGGACGCAAACGCCCCTTGGACGGCTGTAGCCTCGTGTTTAAGGCTAAAATTCCTCATTTTTTTTTTCCTCCCGGCAGATATGACAGGAGTTCTGACAGCACGGTAGCGGCGGGATTCTCGTCGGTGCAGAGGTCTCTGCCATCTGCTGAAAACCTTCAGAGACAAGCGGTGGTATGCTGTTCGCTTGCGCTGATAGCGTCCGAGCCTGCAGTCGCCCACGGCTGACGGACAGCACATGATGGAGTTGTCTCTAATTCCGAGTGCTTGTTTCCTGCGACGATTGTGAGAGGGTTCAGGAATGCACGCCTACTGCCGCGGTGGTTAATGTCGGGGAGGGATTTGAGCTTTAGTTTAGCTAGAGACGAAGCAAGCGGTAGTAGCTATTGCATAAGTTCACGCTTTGTCTCATTTATGAATCAAAAACTTCCGCTTTTCCTCTGCGTTTACAGCGTGGTTAACGCGTGGCTGGGAGTTAGCATTTCTCAGGCCCCTGTGTTCGAGCGCTCTGCCGGGGAGTGAGCGCGGCGAATCCACTGAGCCTTTTCCTTTTCCTCTTCTCTTTCCAGATGCACGGCGCCATGTGGCAGCAGCCCCAGTTTGGGGGGAAGTACGAGCAGCCCGGCTTC